GAGCTGCTGCTCCATCGGAAGGATCCCCCGGCACAGGCTGCCAAAGGAAAAGTTTTATGTCAAAAGGAATTACGCGTGTGATCGGCTTTGAGTTCCATTGCTTTCTCCCCTTCCGCCGCACCCCAGCTCACGCAGCTCCGTTACAATGTTGGTCTTTCTTGTAGGTGTAAACAAAGAAAAATAAGAATGCCAAGCCTAACACCAATGTTATCCAAGGTGTGCAAACAAGGAACTGCGCAGCTCTGCAATACAGTGATTCTGTTTACCAGTGCCTGGTGAAGCATTTCTGCCCTTCTGTGACATCAGACTTTGTAACTGCATGAAGAGTCAGGCATGACCTTCCCAGAGATGCTTCGCTCCTGTGCTTTAGCAGCAGCACACGTTTTGAGTTAAAGTTTGTATTTTGGTGCCACCTTGGAGAACACAGTGTAAAGGATTAAACTGAACTGGAAAGAAGAGATTAGGAGTGTGTCCTGAGCACACGAGCCACATATCCAGCCTGTGGGACCAGAGTTAGCGCAAGGTGACACCACCCTGAGCTGCTGGTAGGAAGTCCATGGCACCGGATGCTTTACTCTCAAGGTCTGTTCCTACTGACTCACGCTGCCCAGTAAGACAGGCAAAGGATGGAGAAGCCGTACCACTGACTGAGCCACTTTGCCTAGATAGGTGCTTTGGTAGAGACTTCTTTCTTCCCCTCATGGTGACTCCGCTGAAAGATAATATACCGAGAAGTCTTCTGCCACAGAGCACAGAAATGAAACTGCTCGCGTTGTTCACACAGAATTTTTTTCTCCCATTTTTGAAGGATCATGTGCAAACACACCCGGGACCTGCCCATGCGCTGCAGAATTTTGCCCTCTTAAAAGAGGGTGTAACAACAGATTCCAATCCTTGGTCTTAATCTCAATTTCATATCTTGACCTTGGTTAGAATTGGTATGAGCTGTGACAGGTTGTGCTTTTCTGATTCTCCACGGTGCACGTGATCTAGGAATAGCTTGTCCTGACGCAAGGCACCGCTTGCATAATGAACTCTTACGTCTTCTTGAACGAGATCAAGGCTTGAAGTAGCAAGATACTACCTGGTTTTGACAATTCACATGCTCCACCCGCCTGTCTGTTTATGGCAGATAAAGCTTTCGTTTAAAATGTCACATGTTTAGTTTTAAGTCAGAAGTAGTTTTTCGGAAAGTTTGAGGCCGGCATGGGCAAGATCAGGAGTAAACATAAACTACAGCTGTGCATCATTCTTCCTTCTCCAGCCATGCATGTCGTACTTTACAAGCACAATATTGCCATTATAGAACAGATAATTATTAGACCAGTCAAACAGCTATAGAAGAATATTACAAGAAGATATATAACTATTATAATTCAAATCTAGTTATAATTTAAGTTTATTATAAACAATATTTGTGTATGTATCATAGGTATAATTTTATTGTACACAATAACAAAATAGAAAATAGTTTTTATAGCTAATTATGACCTAGGCCATAGCACCGTTAATTGTTTATGGAGGTAGAGTTGCTTAATGAGACAATCACTGGCTTAAAAAGAGTCTTACTCAGAACAAGTTTTATTCACTCACCTTAAGGGGAAGAAGTTACTTAAATGCAAGAGTCATTAATTGTCACTTTGTTTTTAACAGTAATTAACTGTTAAAATAAATTAGCTTTTATCTGTAATTATTTTTAACACAACTGTACAGAATAAGCTTTTGTATTGGCATATTACCCTGAAATTTTACTGTGCTCATGAGAGCATTCTCCAGACTCCCCATCTTATGCACAGGCCGACATTCTGTGCGACACGGTTACTTCTTCCACCAAAATTCCCCTTCATTTTGTTGTGGACAAAATTTAGTTTTTATGAGCAAAACACAGATCTCTAGTGAAATTAATGAAATCTGTTCGTAAGAACGGTTAGAAGTGTTCTCCCTCCATAAAAAGAAGAGTTCAGTTTCAGACATTACATTTGAAGGTTCATTTTGTCTTCTACCCAACGGCATTTATTATTATTTTTTTAGTTTGAGTTCCTGTTCTTGTTTCCAAAACAGTAATCAGAGGTAAAAGATCTGTTTCAATTCCTTTGTGCCTCACAATGCTCCTTTATTTCATGATGAGGTTTTTAGGGTAGAGTGTGAATACAACCGCTAAATTCCTTCATTCGGGTACGGAAGAAACTGGTGAAAGCCTCCAGGTTTTGTTGTGTCTTTGAGAAAGTTTTGACATGAACCACTTGTTCCATCACTGAGCGTCAGCCTGAAGGTGAACTGCTGGAAATGCTGCTGCTTTGATAATGGAGTTAGGCACCAACACGTGAAACACCAGCAGCTGCCACCCAGAGTGCCCTTACAGACCGGCAGTAGCTGTGTGATACTACAGCATTAGCAAATACCCTCCCGTGCCTTCTCGTCCCGTAACTTCCTAAGCCTTGTGCTCTTTGCTTTTTTCTCTCTAGGCACCCACTGGCCACCTTTTTTCACCTGTTTTTCCGAGTGAGCGCTATTATTACCTACTTGTTCTGCGACTGGTTCAGCAACAGCTTTGTCGCCTGTTTTGTCACTATTCTCCTCCTCCTGTCCTTTGACTTCTGGTCAGTTAAGGTAAGAGGACCCTGCATAGTAATTACCCTTCAAAGTGTTTTGTGTACCATTCAGTAAACAGGAAATATGCTCCTTGACAGAAGCGGCATTGCCATCTGTTGATTAAATAAATGCCTAGCCCATTTATTTAAGACATTTAAGTATCTTAGCATTTATCTCCATGTTCTTTGGCTGATGGGAGCTACTAATATTGTGGAAAAAGCTGCTTCACCATACTTAGATTTGTTTGTATGCTTAATCTCTTAAAAAAAATAATAAATAAAGCAGCCACAGATGCCAAAGGGTGCCCAAAGCTGCGTTTTGGTGCCAACCCCAGCCTGCTGGGGCTGCAGGAGGCTCTGGGGAGCCTGTCTGTGGCACTGGGACCTGCAGTCCCAGGGGTTCCACACGTGGAACAAGGCTTCTGTTTTGTAGAAGTGAAGCATTGATGCACCTCCAGGATACTGAAAACTTCTAGTAGTGATCCAGGTGCACAAAATATTTTCCACGTTTTCACGTGTGATTTTGTTCACAGCTCTCCTCTCTGACTGAGGAAACTTGCTTGCTGGGGGCTTCTCCACATAAGTGACTTAGAATAAGATACATCCCATAATTTCTTACCTAGATCAATGTCATCATGATAATTACAGTACTAAAAGAGAAGAACAGGCCTCTAAATTTGCAGTAGTTCATCTGTCCTTAATGACTGTTGTGCTTAAGCTGGTGCAGCTTTTTGAACTAATCTTAGCGTTTGATAAAATGTGATTTTCAGACATACTTTTTTTTAAATATTAATCCGAGAAGTGAATTATGCAACTTATTAATGCAAATAATTGCTTCTATCACTAGAACGTGACAGGAAGGCTCTTGGTTGGCTTGCGCTGGTGGAACCAGATTGATGAAGATGGAAAAAGCCACTGGGTGTTTGAAGCAAAGCCGGTATGTTAATAAATACACAAAATAAGCACATGACAAACAGAACCCCTAGGAAAGCTTGTAAAGCTGATGCTAAATCAAATAAAGTAATACACAGAATGGCTTTTTAAGAGTTACTGTTTATCCAGCTTCTACAGAAAATTCAGTTGCAAGCACCTGAGCTGGCACATCCTGGAAGAGTTTGGGACAAAACTGGTCTTGCAACGTTATCGTCACACGCATCAGCAGAATAAACACCTGAAGCACGCTACTATCAGGGTGAATCATTCCTGGTGGCTCTATTTTATTTTCTAGTGAGAAAAACTTATAATAAACACATCTTAATCCCAGGCAGAATCCTCTTCAGGAAGGATCTATATGGAAAGCAGTTCTGAACAGTTGACATTCGGTATTTTAAAAAGGAATATTTTACCCGTGCTAATGCAACATAGTGGGGAACAGAATCCTGATCAGAGAACATTCTGATGCTGGTGGTGCTAAAAAGCTCCAAGCTGGCTCTTGGCATCGCTGCTGGAGTCAAGAGCAGATGTTCACGTTCACTTACTGACGGGCAAGGGGCTGGGCAGAGCGGCGCTTGAAGCGCACGTCTCCGGGAGGTTCCGACTGCCCCACCAGCAGCAAAATGTAAAGAGAGGCTACAGGCAAGCCTGCGTGAAAGCAAAGAAACTACAAGACTGTCAGAGATTCTTAGTTCTGCCAAGACAGTAAGCAAGAGGTTTTTTTAGCAATGGCACCCAGAAAATGAGCTCCTGACCTCAAAACGAGCACAAGCTAGGCAAGCCTTGTTCACCTGGTTGTTAGTTCTAGCCTAGGAATATGGAATTGACTCAGCTGTCTGGGCTAAAGCCTTCAAAAAAAATCTGGCAAATGGTAGCTTGATTAGTGTCAAAATCCTAGTACCACAAGAAGAAATAAACAATTCGAGTGGATTGTGGTGTTGTCACAGCTTACCCCTGAGAAATACTTTGTCATGGCAAGGTCCTGGAATTCACACAGTTCTCTTACTTTCCAGATTCAGACATTTCCCAGCTCCTTGGCCAGTCTTCTGGCAACTTTTTAAGATGTCTTGTCTCTATAGGTGAATTTGCTTAGAAATAGTCAAGAGTCACTCACCAACAATAAACAGCAAATTCCTGGTGTGTTGCTGATGTAACAGAGGTTCACCCTTGAAATCCTGTCTTCTGCTGAGCTTTGCTGGAAGAGAAGTAATTCTTCCATTCCAAACCTCACAACTCTTTTGTCACTGGGCTGACTGCAGCCTTTTGTAATCTTGCTCATCAGCTGGGTCTTGCAGGGGCAGAGTTCTCAGGTGGATTGACCATTTTGTCTGCTAAATAATTAGTGCCAATGCAAGGTCACTGTTGGTAATTAGTAATTCAGGATGCAGGTAACTGAACCCTCTGATTGACTCAGAACATCTGTGATTTTGTAACTATGAAGGTATAGAACATTATTCTGTGGATCACTGCAACATCACTGGTTTAGAGGGTACGTGAAAAACTTAAGAGACACCTTGTAATTGTTGCACCTGTCAGGCTTTTCTTAGGCAAGATAGAGTAACAACCATATTTACGAGTTGGATACCATTATCTGCCTCACGGTAGATGGATGGATGAGTCTTATTTTTACACAGTGAAGTCAAGATACTGAAAATGAGTTAGAAGGCCTCTCAGTTTTCAGAGTGGATTTCTTTTCCAGTTGCATCAGAAGCTAGCACTAGTGGTGGTTGAGAGGTCTGAGGTTTCAGTGAGATCTTGAATTCTGGTCTCCTAGAAAAGATCAGAACTTTCTAAATAATTCCCCTAAAGTGTTAGGAGTTGAGAGCGAGCCTTTCAGCATAGATAGAGGCACATGAGTTGTGCCGACCTGAAGAAATCTGCAACCAAGGCTTTTCTCAGCCTGCTTCGAGGGCTTTGCACTCCCTGAGGGATACAAATAGAGCACCAGGAGTGATGACCCCTTTCAGAGAGATGCCAGCAGCTGCTGTAGTGTCCAACACTGGTATTACAAAAGAGGCATTTTAGAAGCCACAGTTCTTAATTTATGATATATCAGTGGACATCACAAGCAAAATAGAAATATTAGTTTACATAATAGAATACTGAGCTTCACACAACATTAAAATTAAGCTAGCATATTACACATTTTTACAAAAATATATGGAAATGGGCACTCGTATCAGAATTCCATTGTCTGGTCTGGAACTCACTGAAAACAACCCCTGTGGGAAATGTTTAAAATTAGCACTTGCAACAGCTCATTGCAATTTCCACATTAGATACTACAGCTTTTCCAATACTGGATTGATTTTTAACCCTGTACTTTTGGTTCCTGCGGGGTACACACGTCATGAATCTGCACCACGGGCAGGGTAGACTCACACTCAAGTTCTGCTTGTAATGCTGCCTTGGTAAAGGTTGAGACTAATATCAAAGTTAATTTAGTATTTCTGAAGTCGAAAAGCAATTGTCAGTGTAGCAGAAATTCCACTTTGAAATTCTACTGATCTGCAGTGTTAGTGGGAGTTATCATCAACAAAAATCTCAGGTAAATGTGAACAGAGACCAGAACATTTTGAAAAGAAACCGCTGTCACGGACAGTGGGGCAGCAGGCAGAAAGCGTGGCGTTAGCTACTTCTCTTCATATCCAATCTTCCTTCCACACATATGAAAAGTGAAAAGAAGTAAAAGTAAAGAAGTAATTTGGCCCATTCTTCCTCCTCTTCTGATTTGTCATTTATTGTGGATTTTGTCTTTGTGACTATTGCAATTATTTTCCTTCTAGATGCCTACGAGAGCTGCCTCAACGGAAGCTGAAGCTCGAATCTTTTGGCTTGGTCTCATTGTGTGTCCAGTTATTTGGACAGTGTTTTTCTTTAGCTCCTTGTTCTCCTTGAAGCTGAAGTGGCTGGTAAGTCGGGGGGTGCTGAAAGACCTACGGCTGACAGACGGCATTGGTAGAGGGAAAACCCGGATCTGTCAGTCTTGCAACAGTTTTTTGAGCCAGATCTTGCAACAGTACAAAAATTCCACCAACACCTTCAAGAAATCACAAGATTTCTGCAGTCAAAGCTTGGATTTTGAAATTTTTAGCCACGCTTCTACAAGGTTATTGGATATCACCTCCTCCATCTAACTTGAGACCCTTAAGTGGCTGGCAAAATTACAGACTTTTTTGTCAACTGTAGGAACTTAGTTTTCCCTGATTTATTTCAGTGGGAAAAAAAACTATCAAGAAAAAAAAAACAAAATAAGTCAATTATGCTGGGTTTCAGTTTTTCATGTCTCCTTGGGAATTGCATGTTACTTGCTCTTAAGAATAAGGATTTCAGATCTCTGGTACCATTCTCTTTGGAAAGAGTATCTTAGTCCTTAAAACCTTGATAAATTGAGCTGTAAGTATATATTTTATAATGACTATATATATAAGCCATGTACTCTACACACACAAAAAGAAAAAAACACACACTTTTTCTAAACATAGGAGGAAATTTACCCCATATATTGGCATTACGTGAAGAGACTTTTGTCTATGACATCTCAAATGTTTTCCCCTGTAAACATGAAGCCCCACGGAATTAATTTTGTCAAGTTCCTATCCATGCTAAGTACAATTTCCTAATTCAGTTTGAAAAGATAGTGTCTTGCACACGTGCAGCTGCGTAGCCAGCAATGGACATGGTTACATTTTGTTATTAAATGAAATGGGAAATTCAGCTGTGGGTATCTGTCAATTGCAAATCAGTACCTGCTTTGTAGCACCCAGAGTGGCACAGCTAAACGAGTGACAGTTAAAATTAAACCAGCTCTCTTTCTCCACCTTGGTTTTTGAAAACCAGAGATGGTTTGCTAAACTAAGAGCTGGTTGAAGGATCCCTAACTGGCACCGCAGGCAGGTTGCTCAGTGCTTGGAGAAGGCGAGTTACCCAAACGAAAACATGAGAGCTTCCAGGAAACTGTTTCCGAGGCTAAGAAAAGCAGTTTTACTAGATCAGATGAGTTCTGCCTGCTGCTAAGCCTGTAGTGCCACAAGAGGATCAGATTAGTTTCACTGCCTAGTAGTGCTGGATACTGATTCCCCGCGACTGGTGCTCTTTGTAAATCTGCACGTTACAGGATCTTATTTGTACGTGGTAAGGCGTTGGTCAGCTGAACAAGCGCGCAGGCTTGCTATGTGGCTGGGCGTGAAACTATGATACAAATCAGGCTTTAAAGGAATGAAATGATGATGCAGTCAGTTGAATGGGTCCTTTTCTTTTGAATGAGTGCTTTTAGGAAAGTAATGAAGTCTTTCAAGATGCAGAATGACCAAAAAAAATGCATGTGTTGTGATACTGTAGAGGTGTTTTGTAGAAAGGAACTATTGTGTTTGACGTGATTGGACCTCTTTGATCCTTCCAATCTCTTACTGTCTTAGTGGAAAAAATCCCTCTTGCAGCACATCTGTGTATTTAACTAATACATATACAACGTGTATATCTATTCTACACGTACAGCTTCTCTTGCACGGTGTATTTGTCCCAGCAGAACTGTTGTTTGTCCGCAGGCTCTCGTGATCACTGGGATCTCCCTTCAGACCGCTAATCTCTACGGATACATCCACTGCAAACTAGGGGGACAGAAAAGCCTCAGCAGAGGATCTTCGAGGTTTTCTGTCACAGCAGATGTTCCAAAGCCTAAGTAGCGCGTCGCTCTGCCAGGTGCAGCCGACAAGGTGCCACACGCCAACCTGC